TAAATAAACATGTCTAGTTTGATGTATTTATTGTCCAACAGCAGAGTATTTCTCTGTTTATATATAGCTATATTGTCTAGTTTGTGGTATTGTGTACATTGTGTCTTATTTTCAGTCTTTCATATAGAGGGCAAACAATAACCTTATATACTAACACCTGTGGTAAGCTTCATAAGTTTCGTGGCTAATTGGAACTTCAGCAAACAAAAACATATCGCGGTTCATAAAAAGCGTGTCAATGTCAACTGATGACAACTGATGGCATAATGAAGCTGCAGAAGATCCTGTCTTTCACCACTTGTTTCTACTTTTTCCACCTTTTAACTTAACGGTTACATAAACTCAAACTAATGCTCACCATAGATCCACCACCAGGTTCTCCAGGCTCGCCCTTAGGACCAGGAGGACCTTGAGGGCCAATCACACCACCAGAGTCCCCCTACAGGTGGAAAGACAGATGTGAATGATAAATGGGTACATGATGGGCAGAGCCTTTTGTCTGTTTTACATAAATCTTCTATTTAGAAATGCATTTTAGGTGATCGTGTTTTTAAAAGAAAAATAACCTTATAGCTGTAATGTTACTCAGTYATAATAATAACACAGTATTGGTTGTGGCAATCATTTTTAAATATGATAGTCCCAGATAATCTGATAAACTTATTAGTTTGTTTTATTTTTATCATGTTAACCACATACAGACAAACAATTTAAGCAAAGAAGTAAAAAACAAAAAATACAGAACCTACAAAGAAAAAGTGCACAAGTATTGTTACACTTTTTAACAAAAGGATTAGAAATAATTRAATCCCACCCCTTCACCAATAGTTATCCATTTTTACTAACCTAATTCCTTATTAATACAACTACTACTGGAAATGATGAGCATTATGGTACAATATTCCAGCTGGTTTGGATGTTATCAGTCCATTAAATGGACATTTTTAGCGGTTGTCACTCCCATWGAATGGCTTCAGACTGTTTACCTACCAATGCGATGGAAGGCAACAATCTACTTTAACCTAGCCTAGGTAATTTTCTCTAAAATTAACCTTAGTGGCTTTATGCCTCATATGAACCAGATTGCATAAAAATCCTTAGTGGCTTTATGCCTCATACTAACCAGCTGACAGTCTGAAGCCATTCTATGGGACTGATAACCACTAATAACGTCCATTTAATGGACTGATAACATCTGAAGCGGGTGAAAATTCAATACTTTTTATTAATACCGGCTATTGCTGATTTGTTAGATATCATTATATTTCATGAAAAACATTTCTTTATACTTTCTTTTAAACTATTTTATGTTTGGACTAAGCTTCAACTCCACACTCAAATTCTTCAATATTTTCACTCCACACACAGAAACACACAAAAAACTTCCTTACACAATAACAACTCTCAATTGACCCCTTAAATTGCAACTTGCTTCCCAAAAAACAAATTTATCTTAAATATTTTTGCTAACTCGGTCCTTTAAATCCAATTAAATCCATTATATCTGTTAAGTTCAACAAAACCACATGTCATCAGCAAACAGCAGCATTTTAAACACTTTGGAAACATTGAAAATGTCATTAGTAATGTCATAAATGACAATTGTGAATTTACTATTTAAAAATTAGCAACTCGGTAGCATTTCTACTTGTCTAATGTTCCAGGTCCTTTTTGTTTGCAAATACCAGAGCAGTCAGKGGCATCTAACGTGAGAGGTTACAGCATAACTGAAGATGGCGTTCATGGTGAGTAATCTGAAAAAGTGTCTTCACAAGTTGTCTGGTGTGTTCAGCCTGTGATAAAAGATCTTAGGTTCATATTTGTCTTTGAGGTGAGAACTTGATTTGATGTTTACCCACCTTTTCTCCTCTCAGGCCATCTCTCCCAGGCGCCCCTGGCTTCCCTGGTAAGCCCTGTAAATAGTGGTGAATAGAGACACATCTATCAGCCAGCTTTCATCTCCACACACACACATTTATCTCCTCCTCCTCACTGCTTCGGCGAGCTGCTGTGCTCCAGCTAAACTTCCCTTAGCCAGGATTTATGAAATGCCTCTTTTCCCTCCTTGCTTTTGAATAAAGACAGATGCTCATTACCGCAGCAGGTGCAGGGAACAGATTGGGCTGCTGCCTGCYTTGCTGGCATAAAGCGCTTAGATTTGCCTCTTTCCACTACTTAATTCTTAAATTTGATTACTGATCGCCTGTGTYAAAATTTGGTACTTTTTTTTTCTTCTTTGACTTATTCTCTGTTTCTGCCTGTTGAGATTTATCTGTTTATCTCTCTCTTTATTTCGTCAGGCTCAGCTGGGAGAGTAGAGGATATGGCAAGGTGACAGATACGGCCATGAGGGAAAAGAAAAGCTTGACATGAAGTGCTGGTGTTTAGTGCCAGAGTTACTCACGGGCTCGCCTGGGAGTCCTGGGAGTCCGATGGATCCTGGCTGGCCTTGTTTCCCCTGACAAACATAAAGGGAAAAATTCTTTGGGCTATTGTCTCCTTTTGTTTGGTGACAGAGTCATCTGAGTGTGAGTTTTATGACACAGCTGGCCAAGCTGTAGACACTAAGAGTATTTAAAATGGAAGTCTCGAAAAAAAAAAATAGAGTAGGACTGGTTCTTTTTTGTTGAAAACATTTCGTCTCTTCTCCAAGACACATCAGTCTGAGGAGACTTTTTTGTATWATTCTGAATATGTAAACTATACCTCGCTCACTTATTATAAATTAACATGCATTTCACAATATTAAATAAAACTTAAGGAAGCACAATACCTATAGAACTATAACCAAGAAGAGTTACAGGTAAACTCAGACTTATAATCAGTATGTCCATATAGTAGACAGACAAGGGGCAGGCTTGCTTTCAAATTACTGAGAGAGTTCAGCTGGTGTCTTGGCTTTCCATGACTTTTTACA